TACGGCCAGTGGTGCATTGTGGGTAGTCTATTCTAATGGTTATTTTAGCGGGAGTGATTTGTTAATTTGTTTATTATCATCTTTATTTAATTATTTATTTGCATTAATTTATTTTACTTGTTTTTCATTATTTTTATTTTTATTCATTCTTTTCAGTTTTCGATTTTTAAGTAACGTAGTAAAAAATTACTTTCATGTTTCCATTTTGAGATTGGTTCTGATCGTTTGTTTAGTAGTTTGTTTTGGTCTGGGAAAGTAATTATAGCTATTTTTTCTTCCAGAGTTGACAGTTTTTGAATTGATTGTTGTAGACTGATGTGTGACGTCCCTTTTCCTACAGCCTTCTCTCGCTCCTCGCTGCTTCGTTCGGGTGTCGCCGCTCCAAACGTGACGTCCGCCTGTCTGCGTCAGTCGTGTTGTCCCGTCCTGTGACGATCAACTGGCTTGGTATTGGTCGCGGCACCCAAATGTGACGTTCTAACCTTTTGGTGACTCGAATGGGTATCTGGTCAGATCCGATATCAGCCTCGTCGTTCCCAACTCGCTTCCAACGTCTGGTTACCAAAGTAACTGCGTTGATCTCCAGTCAGCCTACCCACGGTGTGAATTGATCTTAGGCAGACGAAATCAATCAGTCGTTGGGGCCGTAATGCAATTTGAGTTCAAATGAGGGTGGTATCGCACAAATATGTCTAAAAGAAAATAAAATAATAACTCAAAAGTTCAAGGTATCAAAAAAAGGATAACAATACTTTATATCTGGTTGCTGGATACATAGGACTGCGTCTATCTCCCGACCCGCTATATGGATTGTGACACGTTGTTTTTGTTAGGTGAGTTTTAACATCTTAAGTTGTCTGTTCTTTAAGAAAGTGGTTCTTGGTGTGTCTTCAGGCGATAGTCGAAAAACTTATTTTGGTGGTATGGATCTAAGTCGCTCTTCAAAATATATTGTTCTTGGATTGAAGATGAGTTCGGAAGTTGCGCGAATCTTTCAAGTCAGCTCTGCGAGGCCTGCTTCAACTGAGCACTGAAGACTGAACTCAGGAAAACCAGAGTCTGAACTTAACTGATTTCTGCTCGCTGCGACTTTGCTTATATGGACGCCGACCAAAACCGGGGTGGGCTTTGTCGGGGTTGCAGGTTCCTCGATAATTCTAAATCCATATCCACTTCTTTTATTTTTGGTCAGGAATTTTCCACTCCTTTCCATTTTTGGAAGTCTTCTCTTACTCCCACCTTCTCTTATTCTCATATGGATATCTCACCATATTTCAGAGGGGCGTCAACGGTTCTCCCCACTTCTTCGTAGCAACTTCTCATACCTATCCTCTAAATGGGCGGCGGCTCCCCCCCTTGCGTCACGTGATCACCTCCGCCTGGCCCTCGTTGACATTCGGCCAATGAACCGGGTGGGTGTGATCCGGCTAGCTTTGTTTTAAGAAAAAAATATAACTTGCTAAAAAAAAAATGATCTTTTTCTTTTCCTTTTCTTTCCTTACTCGCAGATCTCATCCCCAATGTCACCTGGGATATATCAATGCCAATTATCAAGTGGGGTAGTCGTCTAGCTAAACACAGCCGATTCCCGTCTCGAAAAACAGTTTCATTGTCCTAGCCGTATTTGCATTCTTGGTGCCAATTTCTGATAACATAGTTTTATTATCATAACCGAATTCTAACACCCATAGATGTCTTTTCAAAACGGCAAAGTCTTAACCCAGGGTTGGCTTTGTGTGCGGTTAACAGATGGCCTATTAAATCCTTTCTCGACAATATTGTTTGCCCCCTCTGACACAGTTAATTTTTCTTATCTATCCAAAGCTCTGTATTCACCTATTCCTTGTCAGGCAATCCTACGACACTGGTCGTCAGAATTTTCACCATCTTTTTCCATTATCAAAATAACATTGTCAAAATGTCTCGGAGTTTAGCTAGCCGGTCTGGAGTTTGTCAATTAGATGTTCGCCAGCATTAAGTGGTTGTTATCTATTCCCGATAACATAAGTCCGCCACCACAACACAGTCGATTTTCTTATCCATTTAGAATTTTCTGCAATGGCAATGAAACCTTTCACCATTTGCTACTTATCAAAATAACATTTTCAATGTCCCCGAGCGTGGGTGGTTTCTTTTATCATCTAAGCTTAAGTCTCGCCTCTCTTTTCCTTTCTTTCCTTTCTCTTTTTCCTTTCTTTTTTTCCTTTTTTCTTTTTGTGCCCCTAAATGGTGTCACAGATGTTCTTTTCCTCGTTTTCCATGATATTGTTGGTGTGATTTGCTTTTCGCTTTTAATTTCCCAGATATACTTGGATATGCTGTTCGCATATTTACTATAAGAGAAATATTTAAAAACCAAAAAGCAAGTCACGCACACACACACATATATATATATATATATATATATATATATATATATATATATATATATATATATATATATATATATATATATATATATATATATATATATATATTATGACTACATTAAACTGTACATACTTGTACGTCTTGTTTCAATGTTAAAAAGTAACGTTTCTTCAGTTGGAAAATGACGAGGGAATACAAAAGTAGTGTAATAAATATTTATATATTACGCACGGTTACAGTAGAACATGTTGAAGAAACGTTACTTTTTAACGTTAAAAACAAGAAGTACAGTTTTGTAGTGGGTATGTACATGTTCTAATGTAACAGCGCATAATAAAGAAATATTTAGTGCTCTACTTTTGTATTGAGACCAGTTTTAAATTAAATGCTTTGATAGCGGAAATTTTACTCTTCGTTCTTTTTTACAATTCTGTATATATATATATATATATATATATATATATATATATATATATGGTTTTCAGGTGTGCTATATTTATGGAATGAAGTGCTCAATATCATTGATAGAGCGTATGTATATATAGATATAAAAGTGAACATAGAAGTCAGCACTCAGAGGCGACTGGCTCTTTTCATGCTAGGCGTCTAGCATGAAACAGCCTATCCCTCTGAGTGTTGACTTCTGTTCATTTTTATATATATATATATATATATGTGTGTGTGTGTGTGTGTGTGTGTGTGTGTGTGTGTGTGTGTGTGTGTGCGTGCGTGCGTACCTGTGTGTGTGTGTCTGTCTGTGTCTGCGCGCCAAAGAGTTCGGAATCAACAAAGCTTTGGACTGTTTTTTTACAGTCACGACGTCCAGAAAAGGGAAACATATGCATGCAAGAAAATCATAATAAAATAAGCTAAATTATCTAAAAGCTAAATTAAATTATCAAGTCAGTCTTCTTCAACGAAACTTGTATGAGAGATCGATTGTCTCTCAAACACACAATTATTTCTATCTATCTATCTATATATATATATATATAATATCTTATATTAATTGCACAACACCGAGTTTCGTACCGAAGCAACTGTCAAGTGCTGGAATTAATATTATTATTATTTTTATTTATCAAATATTATTTAACACTGTGCACTGTTTTTTCTTACACTATAGAATATTTATTTTATCGGTTTTACTATTTACATTATTTAGTTATCACTGTGCCATTTGTAAATCTTCACAAGGACACATGGCACAGTAGATAAATTCGTTAGTTAGATCCAGTGACAGGACCCAAAGAGTGTGAGTTCAGTACCCGGTTAAGGCAGTGGAGAACTTGGAGAGGGGAATTAGCAGGAGATAACTGGTATCTGACATCCATTAAACATGGCACGTGGAACTAGAACAGTCTACCCCTGTGAGCAAAATAAAGGGTTCAGTTCAGCATTCCAACCAACTGAAGAAGGCCGGAGCGTACAGCGGCCGTAACGTTGTAATAAATATGACGACAAAGATGAGGACAATATTCCGAATAATGTAAATAGTGTACATAATACCTCATCTCAGAAACATAGACAGATACCATTCCGTTATATATATATATATATATATATATATATATATATATATATATATATATATCACAAATGGTAATACGCATTTGGAAATATATATATTATAAATGCTAATACGTTCAGCTTATCAGAATTTGAAAATATATATATATATATATATATTTTGCATATATATATATATATATATATATATATATATATATATATATATATATATATACATACATACACACACAGAGAGTTTAATTTTGATGAAAAAAGAACCGACTCGGTCTGTCAGTTTAATTTTTTATTTTTTTCATTTTCGAGTAAATTGTTGAGTACTGTGTTCGAATTTATGGATAAAATACAAAATAAATATTAGATAAACTGAGAAACCTTGTTTTCTCTAATTAAACTTGTTTGCATATATATATATATATATATATGCAAATTTGTGGAGAAGCTTTCGTTCTGATAAGCTGAACATTACGGTGTTCACGAAATAAATATTATAAACGAAATGGATAATTAAAGTCTCCGTCTTATTAGTGTCATTATAATGCTCTGTAATCTACATTGAGCTCTCCCTGGATTTATAGCCTTCTCGGAATTATCTCTTCCACTCACAAACTGGTAAAACGTCTATATATATATATATATATATATATATATATATATATATATGTATGAAATGTGTGGAGAAATTGCATTCAGTATACATAAACACACACACACACATATATATATATATGTGTGTGTGTGTGTGTTTTTTAAAATGCCTTCTCTTTCGTTATCTCGCTTTATTTTGGTTTATGTATTTATTCTGTAGGCCGTAAATAACAAGCAAGTGGAACAAGAGCAACAAGCCTGCGAAAACCGCAGAAAAATAGCTGAATTGTTGCATAAGGGAACGGCGGCTTTAAAAGCGGGAAAGCTTTCATTCGAGTGCAGGTCGAGTGGGGAATTATGAGTAACATGAAAAGAAATTCTCCGCAAAATGATCAAATAGAAACACAAAGGAAAAATATACGATCTTCTTGCAATTTTATCCTTCTTAGTTGCGGATGATTACTACGGCAAATTAAAATACGTAATCTTTCTTTCTCCTTTCAAGGCACAACATGTTTGAATGCCTAAATCAGCCTGTTCAGAGCCTTTTATCTCTGTTCTTTATCTATCTATCTATTAGCGTCTCATTCATATCTATCTATCTATCTATCTATCTATCTATCTATCTATCTATTGCAGTCTCATTCATATCTATCTATCTATCTATCTATCTACTGCAGTCTCATTTATATCTATCTATCTATTTCAGTCTCATTTATATCTATCTATCTATTGCAGTCTCATTCATATCTATCTATCTATCTATCTATCTATCTATCTATCTACTGCAGTCTCATTTATATCTATCTGTCTATCTCTCTATCTATTGCAGTCTCATTCATATCTATCTATCTATCTATCTATCTATCTATCTATCTATTTATTGCAGTCTCATATCTATCTATCTATCTATTGCAGTCTCATATCTATCTATCTATCTATCTATCTATCTATCTATCTATTGCAGTCTCATATCTATCTATCTATCTATCTATCTATCTATCTACTGCAGTCTCATTTATATCTATCTGTCTATCTCTCTATCTATTGCAGTCTCATTCATATCTATCTATCTAGCTATCTATTTATTGCAGTCTCATATCTATCTATCTATCTATTGCAGTCTCATATCTATCTATCTATCTATCTATCTATCTATCTACTGCAGTCTCATTCATATCTATCTATTTCAGTCTCATTCATATCTATCTATCTATCTATCTATCTATCTATCTATTGCAGTCTCATTCATATGTATCTGTCTATCTCTCTATCTATTGCAGTCTCATTCATATCTATCTATCTATCTATCTATCTATTGCAGTCTCATTCATATCTATCTATCTATGTATTGCAGTCTCATTCATATGTATATATCTAGCTATCTATCTATTTCAGTCTCATTCATATCTATCTATCTGTCTATCTCTCTATCTATTGCAGTCTCATTCATATGTATCTATCTAGCTATCTATCTATTGCAGTCTCATATCTATCTATCTATCTATCTATCTATCTATCTATCAGTCTGTTCATATCTATCACTTTCTGTTCATATCCATCTATCAAAGATTTGCAAGTGGTTACTGGGAGTGAATGAAAAACAGAGGGCAATAAAAGAACAGGTTTCAAGGAGACAGATGATGACGATGTTACTAGATAGATAGATAGATAGATACTATCCATCTATCTATTTCTCTTCTTTCAAACGCGCTTTGAATTTCTACGAAATTTTTCTGCAAATGTTAATTCTCCATCTTCCTTCAAAAGATCTTTTTTCTTCCGATGCATCATCCAAACAAATCGTGAAATCCCACTGTAAATTTTTTGCTAGTTAACCTGTTCTTAATACAGTATCTCTCTTCAAAGTTATCAATGCCAATAAGATAACAAATATTTTTTTTTGTAAATCTTCATAAGACTTTTGCTCGATACTGCTTTATTAAGATCAGCATCATTTCTCTATTGTATAACAAATTTATTTTCAGCGTTTCACTCCAAGCAAGACGGGAAGCCACTAGCAGGCAACGGGTTACAGAGAGTTGGAGCGAGAACAAAGAGGAGTGATAGAGGAAAGGATGAAGAGAAGGGCGGGGAATAGATCAAGGCTTCTGGAGAACGTCGATTGACATTACATTTAAATAGTTGGAGATTATAGCCATCAGGGAAACAGAAAAAGGGGAGGGAGTTCCACAGGCGAGAAGTGCGAGACATAAAGCTATTGGAGTAGAAGAGACGGCTACACTTAACAGTTTAAACTGTGAAAGAGCGAGATGCCAGCCTAGTAGAACGCTTAAATTCATGAAGTCTGGGAACCAGCGAAATCAGAGCCGTTACCGTGAAAGTATTTGTAAAAAAGACAGAGGGAAGCAATGGCACGTCTGTGAGAGAGCGGCTACAGACGAGATGCCAGATCAAGGCCAATTAGATTGCATATCCGTCTCTGGATTTTATCAAGGACCTTGAGGTAAACAGAAGAGTCACCAGACCATATATGGCAGCAATACTCCAGGCAAGGACGAATGGTTGATTTGTAAGAAGTTCAAAATTGACTTTTATATCCGGCCATGATTTATACAAAAATAAAGTAAAATATCCGATTCCCTTCAAAAGAATTCATTAAAAAATATGCACGTGTAATGATTAAAGAGATTTGTAAACGTGAAAGATACTGCTTAGATTTCTCTAACATTATGAAAGAAAATGGTGCTGGTAAATTTTTCGCCTATTGAAAGACAAAACCATCGATACAAAAGTAAAGTTGCTATCAATAGCAATATATATTCTTACAGATACACACACGCACACACACATTCTTACACACATGCGTATACATACACACGCATATACACACACGTAAACAAACACTCACGCATGTTTTTGCTTGTTTAATGGCATATAAACTCTTTATGGGTCATTTAATACCGAAGTTTAATTTTTTTGGAAGCATTAGTATTTTCTTTTACAAAAATATATATATATATATATATATATATATATATATATATGCGTGTGTGTGTGCGTGCACATTTCATTAAAAACGACAGAGAAGGTGCTTTTATTTAGTTTTTCATACAATTTCTCATGCGATCTAATATTTTTTTTCTTTTCGGGTGATAAATTATCTCATTCATATTTCCACATGCAAAAGAAAGCTAAAAATAATGGAAGCCTTACTAATAAAAACAAACAAACCACTTAATAATATTAAATATGAACATGGACATAATATCTTGACCGTGTTTTGAAACAAAAAAATTAAAACATTTTATAAAACATACATACAAAAAACTATTTCTAATTTTAACAGTTAAAATATTTCATCCTTGAAAATGGCTAAATGTATATCCGAAAGCGCCCCGATAAAAAGAACATTCGGACAGTTTTTATATAATTTATCATCGGAAAAGAAAAAAATTATTAAATCGCATGAGAAATTGTATAAAAAACTAAATAAAAGCACCTTGTCTGCTGTTTTTAATGAAATGTGCATGAAAGAAGGATTACTGCCTAAATATATATATATATATATATATATATATATATATATATATATATATATATATATATACCCAAATATATAATTGGTGTATACGGAATGAATTCCAATAACCAACAATTACTATTCTTAAAAGAGTGCTCAATACAAAGTAGAGCAGATATAATTATTTATTTCAAAAAAAATTATAACATAAATATGTTATAAAATCACTACAAAAATAGCCATTTTGTTTCAACACCCCCGGTGTCTTATCAAGTGATGTTTTACATTCAACATCATCACTTGATAAGACACCGGGGGTGTTGAAACAAACTGGCTGTTTTTGTAGTGATTTTATAACATATTTATGTTATAATTTTTTTAAATAAATAATTATATATATATATATATATATTACTAAAATATATATTGCTGGTAATATTTTTTTTATAAAAATGTATTGATGGTAATATTTTCTGTTTTTTACAAAAATATATAATTGGTAATTTTTTTAGTATGAAAAGGTATTGCTGGTGTTTTTACTATAAAAATGTTTATTTATACTTTCATAGTTTTTAACCCCAATTTTGAGGGCTAACTATTTGCCCATAGTTGAGGCCCTAACAGCTGCCACCTCTCCGGTTCAGGGTGGACCTTGGAATACCAACAATTAAGGTGGTTCCACGCTCCTCAAAACCTCCAGTCTCCCGATCAGTGGACCTGCTGCCGGATGTAGTTTAACGTCATACCCAGGACACTCTCGCGTGTGTACACACGTGTAAGTACAAGAATACTGAGTTGCTATTAATACAAACACTGTCTTCCATAAATTTAAATACTCCTCGCAATGTTTTTTTAATAGAAAGTTAATGTTATTCTTAGTCAAATAGCTATGTAAGAAATGTTGAACGGGCATTGTAATTGAATGATATTAAAAATATACTTCATTAATATTTAATTGAGATAAAATTAAGCAATGAGAAGGACGTGATGCCCTGCCTCGTCAATACGCTATAAATAAATAAATAAGTAAAAAGAATTATATCAAAAGAAACTAATTTTATGCATATATTTAAACACAGATGATATAATGGCTAGAGGTCTCAAAATGAGAATTCGGCAAACGGAGTTCGAATTCCAGTTGAGATCGTTACATTCGCTTTCGCACAAATACTTTTGGGAAAGGTATGAATCTTTATCTTCTATCACGGCCCCATCAGCTATAGGTTAAATAACGGTGAAGACTTTATTTTCAAGCCGCTGTTGGCTAGCAGTATAAGAGAAGGACAACGCAAAGCCGTGTGTGGCTCTTGCAAGGCTCGTACTGTAAGTTAGGCCCGTTCAGCAGAGTTGCAGAATAAGCCACAGGTTGGCTCTGTTTGTGTTGAAAAATAAATGTGCCTGGGCAGATGGTCAATCTTGGAAACGAGCTGCTAGGATAAAGACGAAAAGTCACATTAATTTGCAGTATGTCTTCAAATCGAAAGAGCTCTCATGATGAGGCTGTTTGCAAAGTTACTATGCATTTATATTTTTAATAATAGACATGTTTCAATCTCTATCTATAAAAGGCAGGATGTGTGTGTGTGTGTGTGTGTGTGTGTGTGTGTGTGTGTGTGTGTGTGTGTGTGTGTGTCATGAATGCACGGCCGCAATTTTCGACGGATTTGCACCAAGATTTACATGCACATGCTTCAAGTTAGCGGGAAGGCCAAGGCCGACTTTGCATTTCCCAACTCCCATCGATAGTGGAAATAATCGATTTTGTCATGCTTCTACGACAGTTTTCATGTAGTTTGCGGCCATTTTCTACTGGCCAGAGTGAGAGCCTATAGCTGACTGCCGCGAATAAGCAGGAAGATTCTATTGGCCAGCGTGAGAGCCAACAGCTGACTGACACCAATGTTAGCTAGCATGCTAGCATGCAAAAAAAAATCGATAGCTGCATTCGTCACAAGTGGGAAAAATTTAAATCTCCATGGCACTTAACTCCAAATGGCTCATTTGTTTGCTTAAACTTAACGTTGATTCTGATTCCGCAGAACTGGGTTGGGTGTGAAAAAGTATTTGTTGTTAACATTCTTTTTTCATTCGGTTTTTCCAGTTACGAATTCTTTTTTAAAGCTGATCGTTTTGTGTTCATTTTGTTTAGTTCTTTTTTCCTAACAGATTTAATGTTTAGTATAGAGCTTAGAAAAAATTCACAGTGTGAGATAGACAAGAAGTAAGGCATGTAGCAACATCAGCACGGCAAAGGGCACTCCTTTAAAGGCAAGGAAAGGCAAAAATATTTTAAGTCAAGTGATAGCGATTGCTGTATGAGTCGTACGATTTTTGAAT